CCCTTGACATCCACCTAATGGTCACCGCATTTGTGTCCATCATATCATTCATTTGAAAGACATTTCTTATTCAATAAAACAATTTATTTGTGAAAAAGTTTTGCAAACATTTTAGTGATAATTATCTCAAAGAATGGCAGAATTCCCACAATTAGGCCAACAGTGCTCTCAATGCAAGACATTAGGTATTGAAACCATCGGTGGTATTGTTGACAGAATTTCAATAATTTTGAGTTTAATTTAATTTAGATTTTCTGCCATTGATTTGTGATAAGTGTAAACAAGTCTATTGGTATGTCTTGAGATGTCTTCGTATAAGACAATGATTTTTGTATTAAAATATGTATTGTTTTATATGAAGCAAAGAACACCATTCCTTCGTTGCCCACAATTGTCCTCAAAGTGACAAACAGTGGACACCAACGCCGGTCAGCCGTCCGTCGGAGTCTATTTCAGGGAAGTGTTGTTTTTGTAATCAGTCGGTGCTTAAGACGGAACTGGTTTTGTGCGACAAATGCCATGAAAAGCATTGTCTCTCTCATCGACACTACGAGTCCCACGAATGCAAACACAATAAGACGGACCAAAAGCCGGCACAACCCCTAAGAAAGCCTCTGTTGAACGCTTCGGCGCCTAATGTGAAGGGACCTAAGAATGAAGGTCTGGCCCGAAGAGTGGCTCTCATGAAACTCAAGCAAAAGGCTTCCGGACAGTCGTCTATACCTATGAGTGAACGACTGTTTTTCAAATTAAGTTATCAAAAGAGTTCACAACTCAATGAATTTGAGTCAAAGGATATATTCTTGTCGACGGAATGGTCAGTCGGTAAGTGTGTCGACTGGTTGTCCACTCATTTGTCGGTTATTAATAATAACAATAACCCGACACAACCCAAGTTAGTGCTTACCAGTGATGGAGAGACAAGTGAACCATTTCCTATGTCTTCCTCATTGAAACAATTAGAAAGTGATGAACTCATCCAAAGCGGTGATAATCTATGTCTTAAGTATATTCAATAAACATTAAAACTATTGTCTTATGACGTGAAACATAAGTTGTGTGCAATTAATGCAATTTATGTTAACTTTTTTTGATTTCCAATTATCATAATTTTTCATAAATTCTGGAGTATTAATTATTATAAACTTAATACGATATAAATATTCTCATTACGAATTGTTTGAATTTATTAATAATTTCTATTACACAATTTTGTCATTTAGACTTTCATGTTAGTTATGCAAAGAAGTTACATTGGATCAATGTACTGTAGCTCTATTTTAGTGACAATTAATATATTGATTGTATTGATTGACTTTAAATTTATAACAAATAAAATTGATAAAATTTATAATTTGAAAACCTTGTCCATAAGCATCCATTTTTGACCCGGCTTAGCGAATGGCAAAGGCTGAAACAACTTTGACATAATTTGTTCCCATTCTTGAACTTTTGGATTATTGGCGTCCATTTGGGCTTTCCTTTCAAGTGTGAAGTCGTCCTCAGTCTCCATAATCAGAATCAGTCTGTTCTTCA